AAGGTGCATGATTTGTTTAATGTAAAACTGATGATCTGCCCTGTAAACTTTCACTCAATCTACAATAAAAACCTTTAAAAAAAAGTTATAAGTAGGCATATTTTTAGCTTCGATAGGAGTAATTAAATCTAAATATTTTAAAATTTAAGTTATCTTGGCCAAGGTATTTTATAAACTAAAATGCCTTTTATGATAGGAAACAATATTTATTTATTTATGTATGTATGTATGTATGTATGTATGTATGTTAATACAATCTGGATTTACCAATACAATCCAGAGAACAAGGTCCAATCAAAACAGTGGCTTGTCAGGGGATTTTCTTGGCTGGTTAAATTTAAAGCAGAGAGTTGACTGGTTTTGGTGATTAAAATGGCGTCATCTCTATAGATTGAAAATCATGGGAGTTAACATGAAGAAGGTTTTTTTAAAAATGGAAAACTGCATTTGTGAGGAAAAGCTTAGGGAATTTTTTTCCTGTCATGACAATGCACCTGCTGATTCTTCAAGGGTAACAAGGGATGGGATGTCCTATGAGAATTGCATTGGGAAATTTTACACCATCCACACTCCAGTCTCTTAAGGCTTATCTTTGTTTTCAAAACTCAAAGACCCTTTCAAAGTAGTGTAATGTGACCCCCTGGAAGATGCCAAAGCTGTCATTGTAACATGGTGTAAATCAAAAAGAGCAGCCTTCTTCAGGGAAGGGTTAGGGAGCTGGAAACACTGCCTTCAGGCACACGTAGACCTGTGTGGAGGATATGGCAAGAAGCAACAGCTTCACATTTTGATATTTTCGTTTATTAAAGGTTTCTGTGATTTTGTAGCAATATTTCTTTCTCTTTTTTAAATTGTAGCAATTTAAATATATATATATAAAAGCATTTCAACCATTTTTACATGTGCTGTCCAATCCCACCAACCACACTCCCCTACTTCAACACCACTGTTTAGAAAGTGTGTGATAATACTTTCTGAGTTACCCTTATTTCTCAAAAATGTATTCAATAAAGTCTAAAACTTGTCTTAAATATCTTCAATGTTTTCAGGGAGAGTTTAGAAATATGTGCCTCTTTTTTCATTAATTTGCTTTTGTTTTCTCTTTCCACAGTTCCTTCTCCCAACCTCTATAGCCAGCTGAATGCACTGCAGTTTACTGTGGATGAGAGAAGCATTCTGTGGTTAAATCAGTTTCTGTTGGATTTAAAACAGAGCCTTAATCAGTTTATGGCTGTATACAAGTTGAATGACAATTCAAAATCAGATGAGCATGTTGATATTCGGGTTGATGGCTTAATGCTAAAGGTACCATATAAACAAACGGCTATGAGAACAAAACCATTTTTATAGGAAACAACTACATTATACTTCCCAGGATTTCATCTGAGTGTCCAAGTAAAAATCAACTTCACTGTGTCTTAATTTTGATTTTGAAATTTTAGTTTTGATTCTCAGTTTTAGAAGCTCAAGAATGCTTTTTCTAGTTTTTATAGCTTTATGGATTTTTTTTCTTCTTTCTCTGCCTTTGTATATTTTACACTGCTTATCCATTTGGGGTTGAACAAATGAGTAAAAGTAAGTCGTTTGAGTAGAATGCAAATAAAAGTAAAACTCAAATCAAAGTTTTGATCGAAGAAAATGAGAAAATAGCTCTGGTAGCATAGTGGTTACAAATCGATCTGCAAACTGCAAAGTCAGCAGTTCGAAACTACCAGCTGCTCCGCGGGAGAAAGAGGAGGCATTCTGCTCCCATAAAGATTTACAGCCTCGGAAACCCTGTGCAGGGTTGCTATGAGTCGGAACCGACTCCACGGTACTTAACAACAACAGCAGCAATGTAGTTTAGTGGAGTCCTGGTGTGGTGCTGTGGGTTAATGCACCAGACTGCAAAGCCGTTTGAACTGCAAGGTTGGCAGTTCAAGCTCACCAACGTCTCCTTGGAAACCCTATACAGGGTCGCTATGGGTCAGAACCGACTTGATGGCACTTAACAACAACAGCAATGTAGTTTAGTAAATACAGTAAAACTTGAACATACAATAAAATTTCAGTTACAAGTAATAAACATACCTTTAATTTTTTCCCTATAAAAAAATTAATAATACTCACCATTTTTATTTTATGCATGTTTTTAAACTTTTTCTCAGAGATTTATATTATTCAATCTAGAAGGGGGATTTTTGTATGACAATTACAGTTTAAAATATCATTTTATGATACTTAGATTTTTTTTTATCATGAGCAGTTTTAAAACTAATCACTTTATAAATTATTTGTGAATATTTTGAGGAGTTCACTTATCCTTTGAAAATTATATTAGGAAATATTTGCTATATATTTTTCTGGGGTTATTTTTTGTGTGTGTGTTTAATTTTCTTACAGAAGAATGACTCTGTTGACATTTATCTACTCCTTCTAGTCTTTCATTCATTCATCCCCCAAATTTCTTAGATTTAAAATACACATTAAACAAAACAAAATGTTCTTCCAGACTGGACACTTGACACAGAATATGTACTCAGGTAATAATATTTACTAGTACATAATTATTTGATTCAATTTTATCTGTATTCTGTCATGTGTACTTTTTCATGTCTAGTAAAATAGTATTTGAGGAGGAAATGTTAAAAAAATCTAAGCTATTTCCTTTATTGTTTACCTCCAGTATGTATGTATTTGTAAGGAAAACCAGAATGTAGTCTTTTTTTTTTTTTTTCTCTTAGTTTGTCATTCCTTCTGAAATGAAACCTGAAAGTCATCAAGATCAGCCACGTGCAATTTCCGTTCAGAGTTCTGAAATGATTGCCACAAATACCAGGCACTGTCCAAACTGTCGACATTCTGATTTAGAAGCTTTGTTTCAAAATTTCAAAGAGTGTGATTTTTTTAGTAAAACATATACGAGCTTCCCCAAAACTTGTGACAGTTTTAATCTACTACATCCAATCTTCCAGAGGCATGCTCATGAACAAGATACCAAAATGCACGACGTTTATAAAGGAAATATTTCTCCCAAGTTGAACAAGTACATTCTAAGATCTTCTGCTGCCACAGATGTTTGGGCTGTATTCTTTTCTCAATTCTGGATAGACTATGAAGGGACAAGAAGTGGAAAAGGACGGCCAGTAAGTTTTGTGGACGCTTTCCCTCTTTCCATCTGGATTTGTCAACCAACAAGATACGCAGAGTCACAAAAGGAGCTACAGACTTATAATCAAGTTTCTCTAAATACATCACAAAGTGAATCTAGTGATCTGGCTAGCCGACTAAAGCGGAAAAAACTCTTGAAGGAATATTACAGTACTGAGTCTGAGCCTTTAACAAAGGATGGTCAGAAGCCCTCATCATCAGATACGTTTTTAAGGTTTTCTTCATCATCAGATGCAGATGTTCATGTTCTGGCTCACATCCATAAACATGTCAGTATGCAGATCAATCACTACCAGTACCTGCTGCTGCTTTTCCTACATGACTCACTTATTCTGCTTTCGGAAAATGTAAGGAAAGATGTGGAAGCTGTGACAGGGAGCCCCGCCAGTCAGACATCAATTTGCATTGGAATTTTACTTAAAAGTGCAGAAGTGGCTCTTTTGCTCCGTCCAGTGGATCAAGCAAATACTCTTAAGTCCCCTGTTTCTGAAAGTGTAACCCCAATGGTTCCTGATTATTTGCCAACAGAAAATGGAGAGATTCTTTCTTCCAAAAGGAAACAAGCTAACAGTGGTATCAATCAGATTAGAAGTGTGACTGTCAATCATATGGCAGACAGCAGATCTATGAGTGTTGACCTGAGCCATGGCCCTCTGAAAGATCCTTTGCTTTTTAAATCAGCTAGTGACACAAATTTGCAAAAGGGTATTACCTTTATGGATTATTTATCAGATAAAACTTTAGGGAAAATAAATGAAGATGAAAGCGGTGGAATTGTTTATAAAAGCAACTCAGGAAAAATGAGATCAGAAGTGAGTGACAAAAAGGATGCATCAACCACAGATTCACATAGTGTCTTAGACTCCAGAGAAGACTCAAGTATGCAGTCATCTGATAATGGTGGATACCAAAATGTATTGTCAACTACTAGTAAAGAAAATGAAACTGGAGTCAAAGTTGAAGATTTTGTTGTAGAAACAGCTTTCCTCTCTGACAACCTAGAAATCAATAAGGAGGAAGTATCCACAGTTAAGACACTTAAATCACAGTCATCATTAAGGTAATATATTGTATAATTTGGAACTTTGGTTTTGGGGGGGTGTGTGTTAATGTATATTTTGTTTTGTTTTTGATTTTTCTTTATGGTGGAATAATATTTCACTGTATATACCAAATTTTATTTGTTTATGTATTGATGAACATTTGGCTTCTTTCCACCATTTGACTATCATGAATAATGCAGCAGTGAATATTGTTGTACAGGTAGTTGTTTGAATCCCTACCTAAGATATTAATACAGTTGTTGTTGGTAAGTGATGCTGAACCAGTTCTGACTGATAGCAACCCTGTATAGCGTTACCAAGGAGCTGCCAGTGAGTTTCAACTGCCGACCCTGTGGTTCAAACCAGCCTTGTGATCTAGTGCTTTATCCTACAGAGCCACACCAGGCCTCCATTAATGCAGTGGTACAGATTAATATAAGTTTGTGGCTTGTGACGTATCCCTAGTAGTGAAATGGCTGGGTCATGGTAATTCCTCCGTTTAACTTTCTGAAGAAGTTTGCTGTTTCATTTTCCATAGTGGCTCCACCATTTTACATGCCCACCAGCAGAGTGCAAGGAATTAGGTCTTTGTTATACTTCTGGCCAACAATTGATAACTTTTGTTTTTGTTTTTTAAACTTCTGCTAAAAGGAACTCTGGTAGCGTAGTGGTTATGAATTGGGCTGCTAATGTCACGGTCAGCAGTTAGAAACTACCAGCTGTTCCACAGGAGAAAGATGAGGCTTTCTGCTCCCGTAAAGATTTATAGCCTCCAAAACCCTCTACAGGGTCGCTATGAGTCGGAACCGACTCCATGGCACATAACAACAACAACAATGGATGTGACTTGGTGTATCTCATTCTGATTTTGATTTGTATTTCTCTAACAACAAATTTGAACATCTTTTCATGTACTGTTGTATATATTCTTTGGAGAAATATCTATTCCAGTCCTTTGTACAGTTTTAATTGGGAAGTTTATCTTTTTGTTGTTTTTGAGGCTAAACTTTTTAACAATGAGGGGGTCATCAAAAAGTTCATAGAAAAATGGAATTAAAAGATAATGGAATTCCTCCATAAACTTTTGAAGCCCCTTATGTAATGTTGAAACTTGTAGATAGTATATAAATCTTTAAGTATTTTAAGAATAGAATTATTTTCTTTCTATGAAATGATTCTCTATAATCATTTTGTTTCTTAACAGTGGAAAGCCTAAGGAACGTTGCCCACCCAGTGTAGCTGCACCCTGCGTTTCTTATAAGAACATGAAAAGAAGCCCCTCCCAGATTTCACTGGATGCCATTTCACTTGACAGCATGCTACTGGAAGAGCAGTTGTTAGAGAGTGATGGGAGTGATAGCCAGATACTTTTGGAAAAAGGTAAAAAGCAACACTGTTTGAGAAGTCAGATCGTATTCTCTACAGAGTTTGACCAAAGAAGATGGTGTTTAAGTATTTCATTTATATTCAATAATCTTTAAATCTTAAAAAAATTTTTTTACACAGCCAAACACATATACGCACTATACCAAGAACATTGTAGCTAACTTTTTAATGGTTGCTTTATTGATTCTTTTAACTAGATACTGGCTCTTTTTTTTAACTGCCTCTCTGTGGCTAATGTTGTTAAGTGCCTGGTGTGGCGCTGTGGGTGAATGCACTGGACTGCAAAGCCGTTTGAAGTGCAAGGTCGGCAGTTCAAGCTCACCAGTTGCTCCTCGAAAACCCTATTCAGGGTTGCTGTGGGTTGGAATTGACTTGACAGCACTTCACAACACAACTATGGCTAATATGCAGTAGTTATTCATATACAGTCATTTAGAAGTGACCAATATTAAGGTTACCAGCTGTATCACAGAGACTCTGATATCTACAAGTTTCACTGTTGTACCATTGGGTCAGTTCCAACTCACAGCAACCCTGTGTACAACAGAAGGAAACACTGCCCAGTTCTATGCCATCTTCACTCACAGTCACTGCTGTGTTGGGAGCCTATTGTTGCAACAACTGTCAGTCCCCCTTATTAAGGCTCTCCCTCTCTTTTGCAGACCCTCTTGATGCCTTTTGCAAGGGACTGATCCCACGTGATAACACATCCAAAGTATACTAGAGGAGGTCTTGTCATTCTTGCATCTAAGGAGCATTCTGGCTGTACTTCTTTCAAGATTGTATAGTTGTAAGGTGTTGTTTACTCAGTTCCGACTCACAGCAACTCTGTGTACAGCAGAGTGAAACACTGCCCAGTCCTGTGTCATCCTCACAGCTCAGACACTTAAAACCAGTGCTTCTGCCACTGTGCCGTTCCGTCTTTTTGGGGATCTTCCTTTTTCATGGACCCTCCACTTCACATAGCATTATGTCCTTCTCCACGGACTGGTCCCTTCCACTAGTATGTCCAGAGTACGAGAGATGAAGTCTCACCATCATTGTTTCTAAGGAGGATTCTGGCTGTACTTCTACTCCATTCCTCCTGAATCTGTTGTTCCCCATGTACTAACTCTTATGATTGTCAGATTCAGAATGGCCAATACCAGTCCATTTCGGCTCACTAATGGCTCCGTGGCTTAATGCGCTGGACTGCAAGTTTGGTTTGATCTGCAAGGTTGGCGGCTCAAGATCACCAGCTGCTCCTAGGAAACCCTATATTGTTGTTAAGTGCTGTGGAGTTCGTTCCGACTCATAGCGACCCTCCCTGTACAGGGTTTCCGAGGCTGGAAATCTTTATGGGAGCAGAAAGCTTCGTCTTTCTCCTGTGGAACAGCTGATAGTTTCGAACTGCTGACCTTGAGGCTACCAGCCCAATTCATAACCACTACGCTACCAGAGTTCCTAGGTAACCCTATGCAGGGTCTCTATGGGTTGGAACCGAGTCAGCAGCACTTAACAACAACACAATGCCTAGTATATTGATCTTGATGCATTCCATTTCATTTTTCACAACTTCCAGTTTTCCTAGATTTTTGTGTATTTTCAACTGTTTTTCCTCATTTTGATATGTACCCCATCAGCTAATGAATGTTCCAAAAGCTTTATTTGCATCATCATGGCCAGGTCTGCTTTGAGGAGGCAGCTCTTCCCCAGTCTTCTTTTGAGTGCCATCCAACCTGAAGGTTCATCTTGCGGCACTGTTTCTGACAATGTTCTGCCACTATTCAAAAGGTTCCAGTGGCTAAACTTTCAAAAGTAGTCCGTCTCGTCTTCTTCCCAGTCTGTCTTAGTCTGGAAGCTCTGCTGACACCTGTCTATCATGAGTGACCTTGTCATTTTAAATAATTAATTTTTAGTCTGTTTTTTTAAAAGCATTGATCTGTGATGGAGTTGAAAAAATATTTTTAATTTGTCTTTTAACACAGATAATTAATTGGAGGAACATTACAGATGGGCAAATGAGGAATGAGGGCAGGTAGATAAAGAGAATGTTCACATTGACAATAAGTGGCAAGATTGTAATGCACAAAATTATTAGAAGGTACAATTACTGCTGCCAAAACCCAGTACCTTTGAGTCGGTTCTGACTAATGGTGACCCGATAGGACAGAGTAGAATTGTTCTATAGGGTTTCCAGGACTGTGAATCTTTACCACAGCAGATAGCCTCATCTTTTTCCCAGGTAGCAGCTGGTGGGTTTGAACCACCAACCTTGCATTCAGCACTCCACTGCTTATCCCACAGTGCCACCAGGGCTCCTTAGAATACCAGGAGGGGGGATGAAACAGACTGGGACTGTTCACCGTAGGATAGATGAGCGGAGTTGGGTCAAAGCTTTTCATTTTGCCAGCCTTACCTCTCAGTACGAGAGAGGACACAAGCTGTGGTCATTGGGAGTGGTTTTTTCATCCAAAGTTTAGAGCCTGTAACTTTTTAAAAATTGTGGTGAATATATAATGTTTTATTCTGGGAAATTATTTCTCAATATTTGCTAGCTAACCACAGTCTGGCTTTTCTATGCTGAGTGTTTTTTAAACGACCTTATAATTGAGAAAGTGTTGAAGGGTTTGTCCTTTTTGGTTATATAAGGATAACATTGTTGGGTCATGTGTAAAATTGATCTTCATTTATTCATTTACTTTTGTATTTTTACAGGTATTAAAAAGAATGTGATCACAAGTTACCAGAGCCCCGCAGAGACTGTGAATGCCAGTGCAAACATACAGATTTATGGCGAAACTTCTCCAGATGCCATCAGTACAAATTCTGAGGGTGCACCAGAAAATCAGGATGACCTGATGTCAATTGTTGTGTTTAAAATTACCGGTGTTAATGGGGAAATTGACATCCGAGGGGAAGATACTGAAATCTGTCTTCAGGTGGACCAGGTGACACCAGAGCAGTTAGGCAATATCAGTTGTCGGCATTACCTTGCTAACCGTTCAGTAGGTAAGAGCCTATAGTCTTTGATTGTTTTGACCACTTTTCACATAAGGCTCTTTAATATGATGTAAACTCTTGTTTTTAATACATGTGACTCATCATCAGTCTTATCTTTGACCTAATTTAATTCATGGAAAATTTCATTTATTTGTAATAATAATGTTTCTTAGATTACCTTGTTGTCATAAAGCATTTTGATTAAGTTACTAGGCGTATATAATTTGTTGAACACAGGTTCTTTAATTTCTCAATTGCTTATGATATTGATAAGGTCAGAATCTTTGACTTGTCCAGTCTTTCCATCTTTGCATAATTAAGTCTCCGAAAACTGAGCTCTTTTCCATATGAAAATAACAGAGAAATTCTGTTGTTGCTAATTGTCTAGTCGGTTCCGACTCATAGCAACCTTGTATAAGGTTTCCGAGGAGCGCCTGGAGGGTTTGAACCACCGACCTTGCAGTCCAGTGTTTATCATACAGTGCCACACCAGGACTCCAAAGGAATCCTAGAAGGTCAAATGTTGTTTCAGACTAGAGTAAATGTCAATGTCTATAACCCTTTGACTCACTTATAAGCAAACCTTTCCTTGCTGGTGTTGTTTTTGGTATTTGGGAAAAAACATATATTCTGTCCTTGTAGTCCTTCATTCTAAGATCATCAACATGTTGACTTGGGCATAGTTTAAGTAAGAAAACAGGTGGTGTATGAAGAGGAAATCTTGTTAAAACATCCTGTTTTCCTTGTTTACATGGAGTTACCACTTCTGGTTTTCAGTTATTTGAAGAAATGAATTTATTAGAATAGTTGTATGAAGGATTTAAAACTACGGTATTTATTTTTTAAAATCTTTTTAAAAAGCCACAGAGCTAGGGTATTTTTATTTGCTATGTACAGTGTACTGTATCTGGTAAATAACATGTTGAAATAAGTATAGTGTGAATAACAAATGTGTTGTCACCTCACATCTTGAGAATTGCGGGTAAATGTTGTACCTTTTGTTGATAAGCCACAGTGGTGGAGAGTGGGGGGAGATGGCGCCTGACTTTTTGATATGTAGGGCTCACAGTTTGCAATGTATCTGTTAAAACACATTTGAGGATTTTATAGTGTTGTGTCCTGTCAAGGCAATTCCAACTCATAGCACCTGTTGTGTCTCCAAGGCTTCTGTAAAACTTTGAAGAATTCTGTATTAATAAGCCCAAGTCCTAATAGCATGCAAAATAGGAGAAGCTAAGTATGCCAGTCACAAGGTTGGTGGTTCAAACCCACCAGCTGCTCCTGAAACTATATACAGTTGCAGTTAGTAATCCAGTGCTTATCCTATAGCATCACACCAAGACTCCTACCTTCAGCAGAGGCATTTAAATAAATGTGTTTTGGGATATTCATCTCACCACCTAACTTGCCCTTTTCCTTCTCATTCTTACCTTTTCCTTGTTTACTCACTTTTTTATGATTGTCCGTGTGCATGTTGCTTCCTCCTCATTTGTACTTCCTGTTGTGGTTAAGTACTATTGAGTCGGTTCCAACTCATAGCTACCCTGTGTACAGTTTACGAGGCTGTAAATCTTTGCCAGGAGCAAAGCCTCATCTTTTTCCCATGAAGCAGTGGGTGGACTCACACCATTGGCATTGTGGTTCACAGTCTAATGCTTATCCTGTGGAGCCAGTTTCAGTCTGGCTCCATCAGTTATGGATAGAGATGGGAACTTCACAAATTAAATACCTTATTTAAACATACTGAGAGAACAAAAGTAGTCACAGGCCACAGTGAAAACCACAGGCAGTGTTTCCCACCATAGTAACCTTGAATTGAATCTATAAGGCATGTCTTTGTGAATAATCTTGGGCAAGTAAGCTACCATATATCTCAATTGTCGTTGAGTGTCGTTCAGTTGGTTCCAACTCATACCAGCCCTATGTAGGATTTCTGAGACTCTACATCTTTGTGGGAGCAGACTGCCTCATCTTTCTTCTGCTGAGCAGCTGGTGGGCTCAAACTGCCTACCTTGTGGTCACAGTCCAGTGGTTATCATGTAGAGATATTTATATTACTCCCTTAGAAAACACACAAATTAGTAGTGGTGTAAATACTAATTAAATCTATAATGTAAATTTATAAGCCACCTCAGATTCTTTCTTGGAACAAAGTCAAGGCATAAATAAATATAAATTATATGTGTATATTTTCTTTACTATAATTTCAGTTTGGGATCTACCTTTTAGTAGAAACAGTTTTCAAAACTTTTTATTGTGAATTGAATGAAGAGCCTATATCAGTTTTACATTTATAGGAACATTTTGATGAGGTTTGCTCTGTTTGCTTTTCGTTGTTAAGGATCTTATTTTATCTAGGAGACGGTGAAGCTTTAGGCTTTCACTGCTTCTTGGGAACTGTCTTAGAGGTCATGTGAAATGCCATGATTGTTTCTTCATGTAGTAGTCCATCCTATTACAAATGTATAGGTACACACTTAGACACACTCGAAGTATGAGAGGTGTGTGTCATTTCATTTCTCCTGTAACTACCCTATAGAAATAAATAAGAATATTTAAAGGTCAGTGTTGTTATAGTCGAAAGTGTGCCTCTGAGAATTAGAATTACAAATGCAAGTGTCCATATTTGTGCTCTGTTGTGTGTGTATGCCAAGAACCAAACCCACTGCCATCAAGCAGATTTTGATTGACAGCGCCCTTGTCTGTATCGGGTTTCTGTGAGTGCAAATCTGGATTGGAGCCAAAAGACTCATCTTTCTCCCATAGTCAGTTTGACCTGCTACCCTTGCAGTTAGCAGTCCAGTGCTTCTCCTACAGCTATGACGTAAAATATTTGAATTATTTTAGGTCTTAGGGGTAAATATGAAGACTTTTAATCATTTATTTAATATTTAGCAAATTCACCATGACTTACTAATGACAAATAGAATGATATGTTAGAGTTGTGCTAAAACAAACGTGAATTTTTGTGTGTTTTTTTCTTTTTACAGGTTCAGATCAGAAAAATGTAATTGATTGTAAATCGTCTCCTAAGGTTACTCTGAGGTTTGAAAGTGGGCCTAGTGCTGTAATACACTCTTTGCTTGCAGAAAAGAATGGTTATCTGCAATGCCATGTAGAAAATTTTAGCACTGGGTTTCTGACGTCTACTCTTATGAATATTCAACATTTTTTGGAAGATGAAACTGTTGCAGCAGTGATGCCAATGAAAATACAAATTTCTAACACAGAAATAAATTTAAAAGTACGTTAGTAAACGTTTTTGTATTCTCGTGTTCTAAATGTTCATCTACATATCTGGACTTTGATTCATGTCTAAGAATATGCCTTTTCTATAATATATGCTCTTATCAGCATTTATTAAAATGAATTAAATGTGGTGGTCTATATGATGAACAATAATAGCCTTCTTATAAATTAGGAAATGTCTAAATAGAATCGTTTTCTCACTGTATTTATTATATAGTGATATATATCTTACTCCTTAAAGAATATTATCTGAAGAATCATTTAAGGAAATGATTATTTTACTCTAGTCCTTTAAGAGCATTGTGCCAATACTATTTCTCTTTCCTGTAGGATGACAGTTCACGGAGTGGTACGGTGTCCTTTGAACCAGTTCCTGTCACCATCCATATTGATCATCTTGTGGTGGAAAGAAGTGATGATGGCACTTTTCATATTAGAGGTGTGTGTGAAAAAACAAATTAGATGAACACCTGCTAAAAGTTTGAAGTTAAATTGTATTTGTGTTGATTGTTTTCTTTTCACTCATACATTTTATTTCAAATATATCTGTACATCATTATTGTAGTAATGGGTGATTGAGGTAAGTTATTAAAGAAATGCCTTCTCTGTATGAACCGCTAGTCCAAGAGAGAGGATTTCCTGAGCTTACAGATTGAACTCTTCTGTTTTTATTTTCCACGGATCCTTTACATATATTCATCCAAACTTGTGTATTCCCTGTAACAGAACTTGTCTTCACTTTTCACCTGCATGTTCTTTGCTGTATTATGAACATTCATTAGAATTGCTCATGCTCTGTGTAAATTCTGCCCATCTCTCCAGGGTCATCTCAAGCTTCTTAATGAAACCCTTTTTGTTCTTTATAACCTTAGTATTTGTATCTCTTCTCTAACAAGATTTTATAGGTCTCTAATTAAGGCCTACATCTTATAATGTAGCATGGAGTAATGGAAAGACCATGAGTCAATAGTAGATTTAGGTGTTTTAGTCCTAACACTGTTGATTGACAGCTGAGGGTAAAACATGGAGGACTGATCATGAATCTGTTTTGCTGCTTTCAAAATCCCTATTTAATGACAGAACATATGTTAAAATAAGAATAGATGCCATCAGGGAGTCAGAAATTCTTAAAAGAGCACACAGGAGAGGCAAAACCAGAGTAACATAGCCATAAATGGATGGAAGAAAGGACCCTTGCTTATGTAGGAATAATTTGTGAGGATGTATAACTCAAGAGTCTTAACTGATGGATGGACATAGGAAGCATACCAACAAAGATCAAAATGTCAGTTCCATTATGAATAAAGCCTTGAGTGTAGCTTACATTGCTTAGAGCATAGACTTCCTAGGTGCCTTTCTTTCCCACATGCTTAGTTCCTAGCAGGCCTATCTCATAGAGAACACAGAAGTTAATGCATCATTTTTTTAGGAGGCATATACCATTGCTGGAAAATGAAAACATTCTGAATAATACCAGAATATTGTCAGATACAGTACCAGAAAATGAATCCATCAGATTGGAAGGCACTCAAAATATGGCTGAGGAAGAGTTGCCTCCTCAGAGTAGAGTTGACTGTGATGACACAAAGGAGTAGAGCTTCGTGGACTTTCATTTGCTAATGGGGCACAACTCAAAATGAAGGGAAGCACCTGCACACATCCAGATAATAATAATCAAAACATGTATGAATCTAGGAAAATTGGAAGTTGTCACAAATGAAATGGAATGCGTAAAGAGTGATATCCTAGGCATGAATAGTGAGTTGAAATGGGCTGGTATTGGCCAATTTGAATCTGACCCCCATGGTTTACTGTGTCAGGAACAACAAATTCAAGAGGAATGGGATAGCAGCCATCATCAAAAAGAGCATTTCAAGATTTATCTTGAAGTACAACACTGTCTGTGATAGGATAATACCTGTATGACTATAAGGAAGACCAGGTATTATTCAAATTTATGCACCAACCATTAAATCCAGTGGTAAAGGGAATGAAGAATTCTACCAACTTCTTCAGTCTGAAATTGACCAACCATGCAGTCAAGATGTAGTGATCATTACTGGCGATTGGAATGCAAATGAAGGAAACAGAGCAAGGACCAGTAGTTGGAAAATATAGCCATAAAGATCGAAAGTATGCTGGAAATTACATGATAGAATTTTGAAAGACCAATGATTTCCTCATGGCAAATTTTTAACAACATTAAAGATGATTATACAAATGGACCTTGCCAGATGTAACACACAGGAATCAAATTGACTACATCTGTGGAAAGAGATGTGGTTAAGTTCCATATCATCACCCAAAACACAGCCGGGAGCAGATTGTGGAAGAGACCATCAGTTGCTCATATGCAAGTTCAAGCTGAAACTGAAGAAAAAAATTCCATGAGAGTCAAATTATGACCTTGGACATACCCCACCTAAATTTAGGGATCGTCTCTAGACAGATATGATGCATTAGACACTAATGACTGAAGATCAGAAAAGCTGTGGGATGTCATCAAGAATATCATATAGGAAAAAAGTTAAAGGTCAATTAAAAAACTGGAACGAAAGAAAAGACCAAAATGGATGTCAGAAGAGATTCTGTAATTTGCTCTCCCTTGTAGAGATGCTAAAGCAAATGAAAGAAATGAGGCAGACAGAGAGCTGAACAGAAAGTTTCAAAGGGCAGCTTAAGAAGACAAAGTCAAGTATTATAATGAAATGTGCAAAACCCTGGAGTTAGAAAACCAAAAGGGAAGAAGATGCTCATCATTTCTCAGGCTGAAAGAACTGAAGAAAAAATGCATGCCTTGACTTGGTATATTGAAGGACTTCAAGGGCCAAATATTGACCAATACAGAAAGCATCCAAAGAAGATTGAAGGTATACACTGAGACACTGTACCAAAAGGAAATGGTCAATGTTCAACCATTTCAGTGCTCAACCATATAATCAAGAACCGATAGTATTGAAGGACGAAGCCCAAAGCTCCAGGAATTGATGGAATACAAATTTAAATGTTTCAACAAACTGCTGCGGCTCTGGAGGCAGTCATTCATCTATGCCAGGAAGACAGCTTCCTGGCCAACTAACTGACTGGAAGGGATACATATTTGTGCCCATTCCTAAGAGAGATGATGACCCAATTGAAGATGGAAATCATAAAGCAATATTATATAGTATCACAAGAAAGTAATCTTTAGCTGAAGATAATTCAAAATTAGTTGTAACAGTACATGGCAGGGAATTGCCAGAAGTTCAAGCTGGATGCAGACAAGGACATGGTGCTAGGAATGAATATCTTTGCTGGTGTCAGATGGATCTTGGCTGAAAGTGGAGAATAACAGAAAGATATTTACCTGTGCTTCGTAGACTATGAAGAGGCTTTCGACTGTGGGGATCGTGACAAGCTATGGATAACATTACAAAGAATGGGTATTCCAGAATAACCCAGCCACACACCATTCCTGATGTTTAAACCATTCATTATTCACTTTATCCTTTTGGAATGATTGCCTCTTGGTCTATATTCCTCATGAGCCACAACCAAGTATTCTATAATACCCATTTTGTAATATTACCCATATAGTTGGTTATGATCCATAACACCACCTCCATCACAATGATTTATAATAACAAATGGACACTGCTTTGTATCATGCATCAAAATATTACTCTATTATGCTAATGATGTTTTCATGTATCTAGATGTCTTTAATGGTATACATAGGTACACTGTATTCTTTATACTAAGATAAACATTTGACTGAGACACACATTTGACTGTTAGATATAAACCATATCTAAGTGTTCTGATCCATGTACAAATTGGATTTCAGACTTACAAAACCTGATTTAGGAATAGAACTCATTTGTAATCTAGGGACTTCCTGTGTACAGAATTATGTTGTCTGCAGATCAAGATAGTTTTACTTCCTTTCCAACTGAATGCCTTCTCTTTGTTTCTTTTCTTTTTTTGCCTAACTACTTTAGCTAGAACCTTTAGTACAATATTGAATAGAAACATCGAGAGTGATCATTCTTGTATTTCTGACTTTGGGGAAAGTCACGCGCACCATTAACATTCACCATGAGTGATGTTAGCTGTGGAGCTTTTGTAGATGCTCTTTATCAAGTTGAGGACATTCCCTTCTAGCTTGTGCTTTTATATCCAGTGTGATAGGTGGAATATTAAGTTACTGGTTTGAGATTTCTTCCTCTTTAGTATTAGTATCTGCAGCTACAAATTGTCCTCTAAGCACTGCTTTAGCAGCTTCCCAGAAGTTTTTGTATACTATGTCTTGATTTTTATTCATCTCAGAGTATTTTGTAATTTTCATTTGAGTTCTTCTTTGACTCATTTTGTTGAGTGTTCCTTTTAATTTATACACATGTGTGAATTTTTTTCTGTTACTGATTTCTAGTTATATTCCATTGTGTGGTATAATTTGACAAGCTCAGAATTCTATCAGGAATGGTTGTTGTTGTTGTGAATTGCCATCGAGTCGGTTCCGACCCATAGCGATCCTCTATAGGGTTTCTGAGGAGCAGCTGGTGAGCTTGAACTGCTAATCTTGCCGTTCAAACGGCTTTGCAGTCTGGCGTATTAACCCCCAGCGCCACACTCAGGACTGGTTAGAAAGATGGAAATACTGCCCCCAGAAGAACATAGACCTAGATGAAGCGTACACTGAGAAACAGTAGCATCATAGTTTGGTATTTGTGTTTAATGAAGGCTTCTGGGATTTTGTAGTTAAACTTTTTGATTTGCAGTCTTATCTTTCCAACCTCTCACTTTTAGTCTGTATATTTTGATCTCTAGTGTGTTTCCTTTAAATAGCATAGAGTCAGATCTTGTTTTTTAATCAGTTCTAACAGTCTTTGCCTTTTGATTGAATTATTTTATCCACTGATAATGTTATTCATGTAATTGGATTTACATTTTATCTTTTGTTTTTCTATCCTTTTTCTTTTGTTTTCTGTGTGTCTTGTGTATTTTTGTTCTGGTGCTGCAAGATAATATACTGGATTGGACTGCAAGGTTGATTTCAACTGCAAGGTCGGTGGTTCAAACCCACCAGCCACTACTCAGAAACCCATACTGGGTCACTATGAGTCTAACTGACTTGGTGGCACTTAACAACAAAAACAACATTCTTCCTTTACTGTTTTTTATTGAGTAACTCAGTATTCTGTTGTAGCATTTTAATTTATTTATTTAGTGATTGCCTTAATTGATGCTTAAAGGCTTACCATACATACCTTAGCTTCTTAGAGTGAACTTCTGATTTGTACTAACTTAATTCCAGTAAGACTTTATTATTATTATTTTTTAAATGTTTTATTGTGAATTAGGTCATAGTTTACATGGGAGAACATCAGCTTTACATTCATCCTATGGTATATCGTTTCATTGCCATGTTTACAATTCCCTCCATGCATCATCAACCAACCAAAGGGTATAACCTTCATGCCTGCCCCCCGGTCACCAGCCCACAGCGCTTCTCCCTCTCTGGGTCTAGAGTTACCAGCCACTCCATCTCTCCACATCATCATCCCTGCCTCCAACTCTGGTGTCATTGATTCTCTGGGTAGGGTTCTGCTCTCCACTTACAACAGTTATTCACTATTGTATCACACGAGGCCTATCCCTAGCTCCTTTCATCAGCCTTGCCCAGACAGATTGGATATTATTCAGTGGAGAGTCTACCTTCTGGATCTAGGTTCCCTCTTGAAAGCTTGTAAGCTAGCCACTTCTTGCCTTTGTAGCCTTCCCCCACTCCCCATTTTGGGTAGCCAATGTCCAAGTTGCCAATCCCTGTCTACTCTGTGTATGGAGGGGATGGGAATGATCTTGTTGTAGATTTGTTCCCTGTTTTGAGCTACTGCATCCATAGGTGTAGGTCAAGTTCATCAAATTATATCAGATTACTCTTTTTTTCCTCTTCTTTCATCTTCTAATTGAGCTCTGATCATCCAGTCATTGAAGCCAGGTCATGTGAGTATTATCAGCAAGTGTGGGTGTTCTTATGCATATGCCCACTCTTCTTATGAGCTAGACACTTCACTCTCCACTCTAGTCCTCTGTGGCTATGTCACTGACTCTGGGCCCAAGAGTCCCCAGGTCTTGTCACAATGCTGGCCAACCAGGTGTCTACCCACGTTCACAGGAGTTTATTGAACGTTGTAAGGCTTAGCTCACAGCTGCATTGCTGTTTTTCCCCTCACTTCCCCTTATCGGTGATGAACGTGGTCATGAATCAGAGCGTGTATTCCTATTGAGTTTTAGTCTTGGAAGGGGTTTGCCCTGTGGGGACCCAACCACTTGCCTTGATGTCTTCTGGGCGAGCAACTTGCTTGTTCTTGTAGTAATCAGTTGAACTACCTTTATTTTGTATTTTTCCTGTTGGTCTTTCTTTCAAGAAGCATCTGTTCTTCCAGCCACTCCAGGGTGGTCTGCTTGTCCTCCCAAATGGAAATCTCCCACTTTAGGAGATTCTGGATGAGGTCCAGGACTCCACCCATGGTCTTAAGTAATGTCCAGTAAGACTTTAGATACTACTCCTATATATAGCTATACTCCCTTTCTCCCATTTAATTTGAGATGAAACATTTTTTTCATCTGCATGTTTCCATTTCTCAGATACATGACTCTACTTTGTTCTTTACCCTTAAACATCTATAAGATTTTTGGACATATTTTTATAGCTTCCTCTTTTGCCTGAGTTAACATAAGTAGATTTCCTTTTCTTTTGAGAGATGGAGATCTATGTAGGTCACCTCAAGTAAAAAAAAGAAAAGTCTTTAATCATCCAGATTAGGATTTGTTGTATAAGATTTGAATCTGTACCATAATTTAATTGCATTCCTTTTGTTTTTAAAGACTGGGATCGCTTAAGTATAAATGATTTTCATGCTCACTTTGTTCTGCATTTTCTGATTTTTCTCCATTATACTTGCATTAATTTTACATTCATAAAAAAAGGAACTAAAATGAGAGTACTAAATGATAGTAGTGTAGATTTATTTTTCACATTGTCTTTTCAGGGGTGACAGTACACACCATCAGATGTTACTCCTTTGTGGGTAGCTGACCTGTCACTTACCTGTCACACAGCACATTTGCTTCAGGCAGCTAGTCATTAGTAATCAGAGTTAGCATCACCTGTCTTACTGTTGTGCATATAATGTTGTTGTTTATTGTTGTTAAGTGCCATTAAGTCAGTTCTGACTCAGCAACCCTGTTTAGGATTTCCAAGGAGCAGCTGGTGGGTTTGAACTGCCAACCTTGTGGTTCCCAGTCCAGTGCTGATCCTATAATGACACACTAGTAGTGTATATATAACAGAGGTATACTAAATTTAATGTTAATTTTCCACAATAAAACTTTTAAAGACTTATTTACTTTCGAGTAAGGTTTTTTAATTAAACCTTTTAAAGCTTAGGTATGTAGGCGTCACTTCTCCGAGCATTTACTCTCTTTGATCAGATTCTCAGATGCTTCACACTGGAAGTGATTTGAAAGGAAATGCCCAAAGAGATCCCATGCTGCTGACACATGGAAAGTATGATCTGAAGAAGCACCACAGTGTCACTCAGGCCACTCAGACGAGTCCAGGGATCCCTTGTCCTCCTCAGGAGCCTACTAGGGAGCAGGTAATGGGAACACGGTTCAGACTTACTCGGTTTGGGTCCAGTAGAGACTGTGGCCTTAGTCACCCTTCAGGTATGAAGCTGAGCTCACCCCTCACCCCCGGGGCTCAGTTTCCAGCCAATAAGTAGACAGATGTATGTTGTTGTTGAGAGCTAGTGAGTTTGAACTGCAAACCTTGCGGTTACCAGTCCATTGCTTACCATACAGTGCCATACTAGGGCTCAGACAGGTCCGTAAGGGGAACAGTAACACTAGTGAAGTATGCACACCTCAGGGTAATCAACCATTTGCAATCCAAAGGGCTGCTTTTACCCAAGGATATAATGTTCAGAAGGGTTAGGAAAGGAGGAGGAATGGAAACAGGAAACACAAGGAGGAAGTGGGACCCACTGGTTTCTTTGTGGGGATGGCAATGCAGGAATTGTTGGATGGAAAACTGATAATCACTCAATTCACCATAAAAAGTTTAGAAATCATAATTCACTCACTTATTTGAAATAATGCTTATTTAACACAGGCTCTGTGTTAGGGTACACAGGTGCACTGCTGAGTAAGAATTGGCCATCCCCAGCTTTCACAGAGGACACTGTAGTGAGGAGTCGGGGCTATGTGTGCTGCTGCTTTGACAGAAGGAAAGGAGGATGGCCTGACCCTGGTCCGGAAAATAGAAGGCTGCCGAGAGAATAAATCTCATTTCACAATACTGTTTTTAAGTAATTTTATATTTCAAAACATTTAGGAAAATACTTTTACAGCACTTGACTACTAACAGAAAGGTCAGTGTTCTAACCTACCTTCCACTCCAAAGGAGAAAGACATGGCAGACTGTTTCTGTACTGATTACAGCCTGGGGAACGCCACAGAGCGCTCTGTCCTACAAGATCACGTTGAGTCCAAACGACTCTACAGCAGAGGGTGTAACCTCCTACACTGCTGTCAGTTACAACTTAGTGTAGATACTGTTTGTTGTTGGGGTTTTTTTAACTTAACACTGCTTAACAAATATTGTTCCATAATGCTGCAAATTCTTCTTATTTATTTATAGTGGTCAAGTAATATGATTACGGATGTACTGATAGCTCTGAATCCTTCTCTTTACATTTTTTTTTACTTTTTGAGTTGCTTCTAATTTTTTTGCTATGATACCTAAAGATATTCATCAGAGTTGGAAACCCCTGTTCAACAAGGTTTAATTTGGTGCCAATCCAGAACTCAGGATGTGGAGTTGAACAGTATGCCATTGCTCTCCTGTGGATCTAACTATCTGATGGGAAAGGCAGGCATGTGAAATCAGCAGTCATAACATAGTGTGTCAAGTGCTTTGATACAGGTTGGAGAAGCAGAGGGAAATGGCTAACTTGGTCTAGAGGGCAGCAATTCATAAGATGGGACTAAAAATAGTTGAAAATTCTTAGAAATTGAATGTAAATATTTCCATGTATCTATAATTACTTTTTCGTTGTTGTTGTTGTTGATGGCGGACTAAGTCCTTAGTTTTTATCATATCCTCCTGTAAAAATTACAACTAAGGGAACTGGGGAATGGTCTTAACAGAATAAAGTACTTGAACTGAATCTCCAAGGAGGGGCGGAAATACGTATTGTCTGGCCATCTTAATGAAGATGTCTAAGAATGTGAGTCTGGAGCACAGGAGAAAGGTTCTGTGGGATCCAGCTCTGGCATCTCCTTAGAGCCATGCACTGGATGAGATCACTCCAGAGAGTGACTGAAGTGACAACTGAATTTGAGCACTCATGGATTCTGCTAGAATCCCAGAATTTAAATGTGCTTAGATAAAGGTCGAGCCACAGCAGAACAAGTAAAACGTTAAACCGCTGTGGTATAAAAGGCAGAGAAGAGAGCCGTGGGAGGAGGAGGATGTCAGCAACTTCTAAAGCCACAAAGAGGTCCAGGGAAATTCAAGCTAAACAAGTAACTACTAGATTTGGAAGTCAGGAGTTAATGATTGTTTTGACTTGCTGGGTCAAAGCTTATGAAGATTTTTATAGTCTAGCTTCCTAAATAGTTTTCAGTTTAATTGCATCCTCTCCAACACTGGGTAATTCTAGTATCTCAAGCATCGTTATACTTTTGGATACTGCAAAAGTAGTTATAGTAGTTATAATGGTTTCCTGGGAGTGATTACATTCTCTTACTTTCCATATTCTTTCAGCTCATGGAGGAGAATGAATTTCTGAAACAGGAACTGGCTAAAGCTAAAATGGCTCTTGCAGAGGCTCAGTTGGAAAAAGATGCTCTTCATAATACCAAGAAGATGGCAGTTGAATAAATAGCAGGACTGGCAATCAAGAACTCAGATGACAGTTTGTTATCTTTATAACATGGGTGTTACCAGTTAATGGAAGAGTTTCCTTTTCATGACAAGATAATAAAATAAGATGGAATGTGGTGCTGTGGTACTATTCCAAAGCCAGTTTGAAAAGTATTAGGTACAGGCACTACAGCCTCTGGCTGCTGTGCTTTCTAGGGTGTAACGCTCTTCTACACTGATGTGACCTGGGAAGTCAACACATACTGTAAAATAATTACATGCCTGATGAGAAGAAGATGTCATTTCCTAATTTTTATATCATCATAGGCATTTTTTTTAATGAAATGAAAACTATTGTGTTCACAAAGATTGCTGAATTTATTTCTATTTGTTAATAAGTTACTATTATTTACAAATACTCAAATGGTAATGTAAAATAAAGGCAGGATTAAATTTTAAATGTTAAAATAATGTACTTAAATCTCTCTTTAAATACTGTAAAAAGAGCAATCAAATTAATAAATTATATAATTACTGGGTTTGAACACTCGGGAAAATCATCACCCTACTTAATTTATGAAGTAACTTGAAAATGTGAAAAAAAAAATTTTAATGATGGATAAACTATATAAGTTGAAGCTATAATTTTCAACATAAAAATGGTACAAATATAAAAATAAAAAGCACAAACTGTAAAAAAACAAAATTAAGAGTATATGTCCAAATGATTTAAACTGTATTACGTATACATTCCTTTAAACATTTACTTATCAGACACGAAAGAGTAATTTAACTATTTGTTAAATTTGGCAGCAATTGTAACTATATGAATTTTAATGAGTAGTATTTATAGTATTTATTCATTTTCATCTTTCCTTCTTAAAGAGGGGAATGTTTTCAGAGACTTCTCTTTTCACACACATTTCATACTATACTTGTATTAATTTAGATACGTGTTTGGACATAATGAATTTATAAAGCTAGTTTTGATTAATCCATGTGATGTGTGCAATCTTCTATAATAGGAAAAACTGCTGAAATTTGAATTCTATTTTCTAGGGATTGTTAACATTGAAATTAACATGCGAGAACCTCAGTCTTGTATTATGAAGTAAAAGCACATGAGGCTTGTAAAGATACAAAATATATAAGTGGGGTCTATTTTAAAAGTCACATTCTTAAGCATAAATTTATCTCAGATAGAATGTCTAATAACTGGATTATCATTTCTTTAAGATACTTGAAAATTCTAAACTTTTTGACACTTTATGGTGCTTTCCTTGTTTGGCATGACTTACAGTAGCCATCTAATATTTGACTCCTGGTGTGGCGCTGTAGGATCAGCACTGGACTGTTAACCAGAAGGTCGGTGTTTCCAACCCCCCATCCGCTCCTCAGAAACCCTAGACAGAGTCACTATGAGTCAAAACCAACTCAGCAGCACTTAACAACAACAATATTTGAGTACTTGGGGGAAAATACATATTTCATTTACATTAAGTGTTGAAGTGATTTTAGTTTTATTTAAAACAATACTAGTTTTTTGGGTTTTTTTTTTCTTCTATAATGCTCATTTTCATTGACATTATTTCAAAAAACAGTTTTTGGGGGCGGGAAACTGAGGATATAGCAAAGAACAAATTGTTAATATTTTATCTCAGTATATATTTTTAAAAAGTTAAACTATCCATCTAAGACTATGTAATAAATTGCCTTAATTTAAATGCAATGGTCTAATTAAAGATTGAAGTGTCTAATATATATCCTTTGTAGAGTACCTATGATTTGTTCAGCAAATCCAGCCTCTATTTTGGAAAAATAGGGTTAATGGGCTATTAACTTCTTCAGACTGACAGTGTTTCTAGAGATTGCCTTGTTGTTCTACATACATTTTCAGTTTTATCTATGATTTCATTATAATAGTTTAATGTTACAGAAACTGAGAGTCTTTCTTTTTCCTTTTAAACATATGTGACCTTCCCAAGAAAATCATATAAACATAGGGTTAATGAGTAATTTGGATCTGAGCATTCTGTATGTTTTGTTAGATTTTTTTTATTATAAGAAATACTATTTTTATTGAGACTTAAAATTCCTAAAGCACTTTCCAAACATTATCTCATTATAATTTTCCTAACAAACCTGGGAGATAGGTATTAAGCACATTCAAGAAGTTTGAAAAAGAAATACCCTTATGTTCAGAAAGGACAAGTGACTAGAGTCACAATTAGTAGGCTGGTATTTTGACTGAAAGCTCAGGCATCTGTATTTTATTTTCGCTTAGTCGTGATTTCCCAACTTTTTTTTTTTTTTCTGGTGAAGGATTCATGTAATACCTTTTATCAGTTTTGCTTTTAAAGATGAATATAATTTAATAGTGTGTGTAAATGATGTGTGTTCTTGTATGTGTGTAATATTCAGACACAAAAATGGGACAGTTTTTGCTTGAGTTAACCCCAAATTTTTAGCAGTATAAGAAACATAGGGGAAAAATAGTATATAGGAATACATCCATATTATATATATCAGAGTTTTTAAAAATGGTCGAAAAATAGAAGTAACAATATCACATCTTGAAATTTTCTCTGCTAAGTCTCTTAATAGAGAAGATGTCAGTGACCAGGGGAAATGGTAATGATGTTTTGTTTTTTTAATTTCATGTGTTTGCCAAAAACATGTTTCTGACCTGTCCTGTTTTTTGTCTTGTTTTTCTCACCTTATTCTAGAGCTTCAAAAGACCACAATTTGATGAGGTACTACTTTTATTTAATCCATGAAAGAATAGCTATGCATATTTTCAGGCAAAACTATGTGGAATATTAACCAGAAGCTCATGTCTGGGTTTTTCATTACGATTCAGTGTTTGTCAGTAACAAAAGTCATAATGTCCTCTTTAATAAGTTTTTATTAACTTCCAGTCTAAACACATTTTCCTGTCTCAGTGAATTCACCCTCGTCCCCAAACTGGTACCATAGATCTCATCTTCACTACCTTCCCCTTCCTCACCTTCTCCACATAACCAATCCATCACCAAGTCTTATCATTTTCCCTTGTGAACATCTTCAGATTTCTTCCCACCTCACTGCCTGCCATCAGCATCTTGCCTGCAGTACTGCAGTTGTCTCCTACCGGTCTGTGCAGCTCCTCTGACCCTATTTGGATTTATTCTCTGTACTGCAGGCTGAATGATCTTTTTCAAAGGACATTCTTAATCTAACCCCACTCACACTCTCTTGCCTTGAAACACTTTAGTGGATGTTTATTGCTTTTGTAATAAACATAAAAATGCATTATATAGCTTATGAGATCACATATGTTAGGGTCACTGTCCTCTTTCCATGGTAGTTCAGAGCATGAGTGAGTATCCCAAAAAACGAAACTCATGGTTGGCATATCACCTATAGAACACTCAGTAGAGGCTAGCTATTAGTATTCATACCACTTTAGCCTCGTGTTGCACCATGCTTTACTTTGTGTCCTGTCATGTTGCCTTTCTTTCAGACTATGAATATGAGGAGGACTAAAGTATTCCATGCTTCTTCCGCCGTAGGACCTTTATATGTACTCGTCCCTTGACAAGAAAACGATTCCCTCCTCATTGCCTAGTTAATGCCTATTTGTCTTTTACATCTCTGTTCATTCGTTACTCCCTCAGGAAAGCATCACTAAATTTATCTGACAGAATTAAGACACCCAACCCCAACTATTATATATTCTCACATAACCACGTGCCTCTCTTTCACATTTAACACCATTGTGATTTTATATGTAATTTTATATGTTTGATTGATGGCAAATCCACTAATTTGTAAACTCCCTGAGGTCAGGAACTGTTTCTTCGTTGTCTTCATTGTTCAACTTTGTATTTCCTATGCAGTGCCTGGCACATATAGTAGGTGCTCAATAAATTTGTTGCAAGAATAAAATGAATGGTGCTATCAAAATGTTTTTCAGGGACTGATGGTTTGTTGGGAGGATTGAAATTCTCTTCCTGTTAGATGATCAAGGAGAGATGTAGAGAATAGTTGGTTAGTAAAAGGGGACAAGTGCTTAAGGCCGTAGGAGAAAAAAAAGGGGGTGTGGGGAAATGTGCCATACTGGGTTCCACAGAATTTGTAGTGTCTGAGCTTTGATTTTTCAAAATAACAAATATTAATGTAAGTCAAAAAGTGTTGCTATTAGCATTGCAGTTAAATGCACAGATTTGTTCAAAACAAAACATATTTGAACATGTCTCTGTGGTCAGTGGATGACTAGACAAGTTCTCAGTAACAAGCTTGCCTTAATTCATTTGGGTGCTTCCAAATAGTGTCTTGGAAGCCACTGTTAAAGCAGTGGTTTCCAAGGGGATCTGCTGGACCAATTAAATTCAAGGCAAAGATGTCAGCTCAGATTATGGAGATTGTTTTTATGGATTTCAAAAGAGTAATCTTGGTTGATTTTCTGTAAGCACATGGTGATCAAAGAGGGGCTTATTAGGAAGAAGTTTTACGAAAATTGCATCAGTGAGAAAAAGGCCCGCAAAGTTGTGCTAAAGAATTTTTTCCCCATCAAGACATTCTTCGAGACTAATAAGGCCATCCTATGAGAATTATGTTGGGAAACCTTACCCCCTTCACCACACAGTCTCTTTTTTTTTTTAAGATTTTTATTGTGGATTGAGTAAAAGTTTACAGGGCAGACCATCAGTTTTACATTCAACAAATCATATACTTTGTTTCATTACAATGATTATAATCCCCTCCATGCACCATCAGTTAACATTATTTCTCTCTATTCACTTCAGATTTTTTT